AGGGGAGACATGAAACATAGGAACTTGGGGGAAGGGGGTGAGAAAAGTAGCATAAAAAAATATTTTTTACTCTTTAACCAAATCCTAAAAACTTTTTCGGAAAAAGGTTTTCACTCACCAACCAAACAAGGGAAAATAAGTGACAAAATCACTCATTTTCTAGGAAAATATTTTCTTTCATACCAAACACACCCTTGGTCTAGTTACTTTTTTTAAAAATAAGTTATACTCCCTCCGTCTTGTTGACCGTGATTTTTCATATGACTTTTCAATATTTTAATTTATAATTTATTTTAACTTGTAGTATTTTTCACATAATTTTCAAATATATAAATTTTATTTTAAATAACTTAAAGATTCTTTATCTGATATCGGATGAAAAGTATTGGATTAGTAATTATCGGGCAGTGATCGAACGGTTTAATCAAATAAACAATAAAAATTACATAAGTAAGCAAGACAATAAACAATAGATAGACGATCCAATCACAATAATACTCCAGTAGGCTAATGAAGTTCTCATTGTTAATGGCAGATTCTTCTTCTTTAATTCTTTAACAATAAGCAAATTAAAATACAAATTGGGAATCCTTAATAAGTTCAGTTAACATAAATTCTGGATACAGTTTTGCTTCAATTATCAAGTAAAATGCTCATTTGAGCAGAAAGGTATCAAGAACTATCCACATCTGCCTAGTCCTACCCCCTCCCCTCAAACAAAAGTTATGATAACGCTGAAACTCAAGCTGCTAAGAAGTTACTTCATAACGGGTAAAAATATAAATAAATAATTTTTAACGGGTTAACGGTTTATCCGTTAAGAAAATTGAGTAATCCACCCCGAACCGATAAACCGTGAATTATAAAATTTCAATCCGTTCATCAACCGTTAATCCGATAACCAGATACCAATAAGCCAATACGCCACTTTTACGGTTCAGTTATCGGTTACAGTTCGATTTTGAACAACCCTAAATATAGCCTTTTAACCCCTACTTCAATAGTAAAATTATGACAGTGAAGCCATGTTTTTAAATTTCAATTAAAGAAACTTAGTAAATAAATGTATATATAATGAGAAAAGTTGATCTATAGTTTTCATGGCATATGTGGGACCCACCAACCATGCATACAGGGAAATTTCTTTAAACAAGTAACAAATACTTTTGTCGTAGCTCTTTGTTGACTTATGACTATTCTCTCTTTCAAAGTCTTCCTATATTGTTTCAAAGGACCAAGTCTTCCTTTCTAATACATGGCAATCTCCAGGAACTTTCTCAAGACAAAGAAAACACACCCTTATGTATATATACTTGTCCTAAAGTGGTAACATTTATCTTCATTCTCTCTTTTCTGTGTCAGTGTAAGTTTCTCTCAATTCCAGTTTCTTAACAGTTGGACTATGCAAAAACTATATATATGGTTTTTGATATATTTATCTAGTTTTGATTTTACTTCTTTAATTTCAGTTCTGAAATCACAAGTTCATGTTGCATGAAACACGACGGCTTCTTGATTTTGTGGTAGAAAAGATTGAGCTTAAGATTTCCTGGATAAACTGTTATCTACAATAATTTTCATTTTGCTGGTACTTGTACTGTAAACTTGATGAGTTCGACTTTTAAGTTTTTCAGTATTGAACTTATTGCGTAAACTTTAGTGGATTTTCACATAGATATATCTATATATCTATGCTTCGTATTGAAATTACTAGGTTTGGATGAACTCGCCGTGATAACAACTTCAAACTTTGACTATTGACTTTCACATTCAAGTCTCATTTGTTTTTTTTTTTTTTTTTTTTTTTTTTTTTTTTTTTTTTTTTTTTTTTTTTTTTTTTTTTTTTTTTTTTTTTTTTTTTTTTTTTTTTTTTTTTTTTTTCTTTTTCCCTTATATTTATTTTTGTGGTTAATGTAAGCTGGTTGATATTATGTTGCAGTAAAGAATGGGCTTTATGCTAGGAGACTAGAGAGAAAGGGAGGAAGGAAGTTCTTGTTGACCATTCTGTTAGAACAGAAAAGCTGAAATTCTGAGCATAAGTTTAAGGCTGAAGCTGAAATGATGAATCTCAAACAAGATAAATATGTAAGGTTAGTTCAATCAGCCTCCTATTACCAAGTTATAATGTGCAATTATTTTTATTTTTATTTTTTTGGGTTGTTAGTAAACTATGAAGGAGAGTCTTGGCGTTGGCAAGACTGATCGCTCTGTGACTAATAGGTCACATATTCGGGCAGGGAACCCCGGTGCACAAGGCATCCCGCGTTCACGCAGGGTCCGGGGAAGGGTGTGATGTAGACAGCCTACCATTATGCAAGCATTAGTGGCTGCTTCCACTGCTCGAACTCGTGACCTATAGGTCACACGGAGACAATTTCACCGTTGCTCCAAGTTTCCCCTTCAAATAAGTAACATGTTTAAATAATAGAAATAGCCTTATACAGAAATGCAATGAAACTAGTCTAATCCTTTTAAAGACTTGTGTATAGCCAGAGCTTAGTGCGTCGAACTGTCTTTTTTAGATGTAAATGATACATTTCTCAATGGCTCTACCTATGTTTCATTAATATTTTTCTTGCTTTTAACTTTTATAGGTTTGAGGACTGGAAGTCAGAAGAGTCATCTTTCAACTCTCCAAATAACAGGCCATTTCATATCAGAAAACCATCATTTAGTTTGTTGATGAGTAACATTAGAAGAAGGCTTGAGAGTGGTTCTGAAAGAATTAGTAGTTGGAGAAAATCAATACGCGTCCATCCTCTAACCGCTAAACCAACAAAAGATCAATCTATCTCGTCAAAGAAACAAATTCTTGATCCTCAGGGGCGATTTCTTCAGCAATGGAACAAAATATTTGTATTGATTTGTACAATTGCAGTGTCATTGGATCCACTATTCTTCTACATACCTGTCATTGATAACGAAAACAAGTGCCTTGATTTGGACACGACGTTAAAGATCACTGCTTGTGTTCTACGTTCGATCACTGATCTTTTCTATATCTTTCACATTATCTTGCAATTTCGTACTGGTTTTATCCCTCCTTCTTCTCGAGTATTTGGAAGGGGTGAGTTGATTGAAGATTCCTCTGCTATAGCCAAGAGATATTTGAAATCTTATTTCATTGTTGATATTTTAGCAGTTCTTCCACTTCCACAGGTTTGTGTCCTCAAAATCTTGTATTTTTAACATTCTCTTAACTTAAGAGAGTATGATATTAACAAATTAATCTTATTTTGTTGCAGATTGTGATATTGATTATCAGTCCAAGTGTGAATAGCCCGATTTCTCTAGCGACGAAAGAAATCTTGAAGATTGTCATTTTTGTCCAATATGTTCCAAGAATATTTAGAATTTATCCATTGTATAAAGAAGTAACAAGAACTGCAGGCTTATTTACAGAAACGGCATGGGGTGGAGCTGCTTTCAACCTTTTCCTTTACATGTTAGCCAGTAATGTAAGTTACTTTTCAACTAATCGATTAATTAACATCACCTAATAGATTAGTTGCAGGTAACTATCCATAATAAGTGAAATCAGTAACCTGAAAAATAATGTAAGCAACCAACTTCAACACGTTAAATTACACTGATAGTATAAATATACACTGTCAATATATATAAGTTATATTTCATCTTATCGCAAATGTGATATGGTTCTGAAGGATGAACTCGATATGGACAGTTCAAATAAGATTTCATTCTTGAACAAAAGTTCGTTTTAATAGATGCAAATGTGTTATCTCAGGTAGTCGGAGCCTTCTGGTACTTGATCTCAGTAGAACGCCAAGATACATGTTGGCGCGATGCATGTGATAAGATTGACTCATGTTCTTTAGACAACTTATACTGTGGAGGAAACAGAAACGGAAACGCTTTGCTTCTAAATTCTTCTTGCCCTCTCCTGAAATCAGAAGATATAAAAGATCCAAATGACTTTGATTTTGGAATATTTCTTGATGCTCTTCAGTTTCGGATAGTAGAAAAGCAAAAATTCTGGTCCAAACTCTTCTATTGCTTTTGGTGGGGACTGAGAAACTTAAGGTCTGTTTCCTTTTACTTATTTCCATATACATGCATTTGGCCTTAGTTTTGCTTATTCAATTGTTAATGACATTTTGAGTATTCTTGTATTTAAAAAAATGTCTTGTTTTATATTTCAGTTCTCTTGGCCAAAACCTTAAGACAAGCACCTTTGTTGGGGAGATTCTCTTTGCTGTCTTCATTTCAATTATTGGGCTAATCTTGTTTTCCTTGCTTATTGGCAATATGCAGGTTAGCACAGTTACACTTTATTATACAATCTTGAACAAGTGAATCCGTTTAGATTGAAATTTCGAATTGCATATGACCATTTATTTTGTTATACATTTTCATTTACAACAAATCTGCCTTCAACTAAGATTTTCAGTGGCGACAAATATAGTCGCCACTAAATGTTCTAATATATGTCGCTTAGATTGTATATTCACCTTTTTCGGTGGCGACTTTTTGTCGCAACCACTTTACTCGAAATATGTCGCTTTTGTCCTCTCCCCACCATTCCAACCTATTATTGATAGGGATTTTACGGATGCTGAAGCCTGTGTTTGTTCCGATATTTTTTGGATGCTATAATAAAGTGTTGTTATAGATAACATATATTATAACATAACATAAAAAATCGGTTCCTAGAAAACTTGATTTTTATAGTAAATGACTGTTATATAAGTATGTTATTATAAAGAAGCCTTTTCGACCTTCTGTGTCGCCACTAAATGTTGTGATATATGTCACTGAAAACTTTATTCCCTAGTGTCATTCCTCAAACAAGAAAAAACTGAGACCTCTCAAAAAGGACAACTTTTACATTTTAGAACTACGTTCAAGTGATTTATTCGCGTTTGTTGTTTGATACAGAAATATTTGCAGTCTATCACAGTAAGAGTAGAAGAGATGAGAGTGAGAAGGCGAGACGCAGAGCAATGGATGTCTCATCGCATGCTTCCTGATAATCTGAGAGCACGAATTAGAAGACATGAACAGTACAAATGGCAAGAAACCAGGGGTGTAGAGGAAGATTTACTTATTCATAATCTTCCTAGAGACTTGAGAAGAGATTTAAAGCGCCATCTCTGTTGGTCTTTGGTTAAAAGAGTAAGTATATATAACCACATTAAAAATTTTCCTTTCCAACTTTACTTGATTTTTTCACAGCTATTTGTGTTGTTTTTAAATAACATACTATTGGCACATATCATATGAACCTAAAGAATTTATAGCCTTAAATATGCCATGACATTTCTACGGCCAGAAGAGTGTATTGTTAAGATAAAATGGAAAGTTTCAAGTTAAGGAGTTCTAAACATAGAAATGTGTAGTCCTTCTTTTGAAACAGACTAAAAAAGAAAAAGAAAAAGAGTGTCGTATAAAATGGAACAATGAGAGTATTAAATCTGAATGAAACTTTATTGAACCACATTAAGTATTTTTAATCAATCAATCAACTATACATCAAGCTCAAACAAGTAGGTAACCACAGCAAGTCTAAAAGGTAGCTCGGTGCACAAGGCATCCCGCGTTCACGCAATGTCCAGGGAAGGGTCGCACCCAAGAGGTGTGATGTAGACAGCCTACCCTAATACAAGCATTAGTGACTGCTTCCACGGCTCGAACACGTGACGTATAGGTCACACGGAGACAACTTTACCGTTGCTCTAAGGTCCCCTTCGACCACAGCAAGTCTTGTAATATACAAAAACAAAAAGTTTGTTCTTTGTTTTTCCTCTAAATTTTGCATTGGTATGGTAATGCAGGTTCCAATGTTTGAGAAAATGGATGAACAATTACTAGATGCAATGTGTGGTCGACTTAAACCAGCACTCTACACAGAGAAAAGTTTCATAATCCGAGAAGGCGATCCAGTAGATGAGATGCTCTTTCTAATGAGAGGTACTCTAATAACTATGACAACAAATGGTGGAAGAACTGGTTTTTTCAACTCTGTATCACTCAAAGCTGGTGATTTCTGTGGAGAGGAGCTTCTTACTTGGGCTTTAGACCCTCACACTTCCTCTAGTCTTCCTACTTCAACAAGAACAGTTCAAGCTGAAACTGATATAGAAGCTTTTGCCCTCACTGCTGATGATCTCAAGTTTGTTGCCTCACAGTTTCGACGTCTTAATAGCAAACAGCTTCAACATAGTTTCAGGTATGTTGTTTAAGCCTAGTTCCATTTCATAACATGCTTCAATCTTGCTTTGTTTGCTTATTCGATATACTAAGCTAAACAAGCTTCGGAAGGGGAGCCTTGACGTAACTGGTAAAGTTGTTGTTCTGTGGAAACAACCTCTCGCAGAAAATGCAGGGTAAAGTTGCGTACAATAGATCCTTGTGATCCGGTGCTTTCCCGGACCCCGCATGCACCGGGCTGCCATTTAAGCTAAACAAGCTTCAAACAACAAACTGGTAGTATATATGTTTTGGAGGAAAGAATGATGCATAAGTTACTGGTATAAATTTTGGTGGTTAATTCATATATGGTCATCCAACTTTTAGTTTATTATACCAACGTCATAAAACTAATTTTTGTAGGAGAAGTAACTCCTATATCTGACGGAAAATTAAGGAAAAGGGCTAGAAAATGCTAAATCTGGTTGAAAACACAAATTGTCACTTCAACAACTTACTTTAATAACATCCATGTGGCGCCACTTAAAAAACATAATAGTAGCTTGTTTTCCGACCAACTAAAAAACAAATAAAATAAAAACCACGATATGACACATAAGGAAAGACATAAGATATATTTTAGGTTAATTGGATCAGAAAATGAGTTATTTTATTTTATTTTTTTAACTGGTACCACGTAGATAGGATGTAATATGAGTTGCTGGCATGACTATATATACTTACGTGACAATTTTATACATGTGACAACCTACTTGAGTTTCTCGCGACTAAATATAGCATTTCTTTTGGTATACATTTTATCTTCTATAACATATAACAATAGTTGAGCTATTGTATGTTCTATTACAAAAGTTTAATTTTATGACTTTGATACACTAATTTGAAAGTTGAGTGATCATCCGTGAAACTAACCCTACATAAGTTACTGGTGTATAATTTTGGAGGAAGCCATTAACACTTGGTTATTTCAGGCTCTACTCACAGCAATGGAGGACATGGGGTGCATGCTTTATACAAGTAGCATGGCGTCGACATTGTAGGAACAAGCTTGAGAAATCTTTAAGAGAGGAAGAAGATAGATTGCAGGTTGCATTAGCAAAAGAGAGTACAAATGCACCAAGTCTTGGAGCTACCATTTATGCATCAAGATTTGCTGCTAATGCGCTGCGCGCCTTGCGACGCAACCATACAACTGGTGCCAAATTATCTCCCACACTACCTCTACTGCTTCAGAAACCAGCTGAACCAAATTTCAGTGAGGAAAATCATTCATGAGTTGGGGAACTAATATACTAGAAATGCTGGAAGATGTTAATCCATGACACGTCGATCGATTTTTTTTTTTTTTTTTTTTTTTTTTTTTTTTTTGTAAAGCAGCTCTTTGCGTAGTACCTGGTGAAAGAGGATCATTGGCGTAACTGGTAAAATTACTTCCAGGAGGTCACAGGTTCGAACCGGAAACAGCCTCTTGCAGAAATGCAGAGTAAGGCTGCGTACGCAAAAGACCCTTATGGTCCGGCCCTTCCTCGAATCCCACGCATAGCGGGAGGTTAGTGCACCGGGCTGCCCTTTTAACTCCTTTGAGTAGTACATATGCTATGTACCTTGATTAATTAGGATTCTTGTATGTAGAAACATGCATACAATTCTGTTTTGATCTAAGTTTCGTTTGAATTCTTATTAGTTTAGCCACTTAAACTTGAATTCGTAAGTCTACTTTTAAGGAGAGCAGGGCAAATCAACCAAAAAAGTTACAAAGTTAGAATATAGTACTTGGAGCTGAATAAACATGTCAAAAGGCAAGTCAGGTCATTATCCCCTTACACTCAGTCCGGGTTGTTGCTTCCCTTTGATTATATTTTATTATTACATTAGTTCATGAATCATTGTTTGGATACATTATATTCTTTGTTGTGGCTGAATAATATATTTCTTGTTAGGTTTGATTGTAGCATAATGTAAATAAATGATAAAGTTTATGTTTTTTTTTTTTGAAGTTACAATTGTTTTTCTAATTTTAAAAACAACACGTGTCGTTCACTGATTTATCCATTTTACAAGCCATCTGTGTGAGTTCTGCTGGACCTGGGGTATCCACGAGACGACTTGTGCCAAGTAGAAGTTTCTATTGTTGGAAAACATGTCAGGCTAATAGAAGGGGAAAAATATTTGAAAGAGAAAAGCAATAAATTGCATAAGATAAGACAAAAGAAGATTTACGTGGTTCGGCAATTTATGCTTACTCCACGGCCACACAAAGAATAACTATTTATTAATTGAAGAGAGAAAGAAGAAGTTGAGGGATGATATGCAAATGAAAATGCATACCCCTTTTATAGGTATTTGAATGCCCTACCGACGTAAGCGCTTACATCATAGGAATGCCGATGTAAGCGCTTACCTCATACGAATGCCGATGTAAGCGCATACATCATAAGAATGCCGATGTAAGCGCTTACATCATAAGTTCATCTCTTTTTGACTTTTTTTTTTCTTTCACATACAACAACATGTTTGCTACTATCATCTATTTGGTTACTGTCATAGTTAAGGTGACGTCTAACTGGATTTTAATGCCAACTTTAAGCGTATCTATCTACGTTTCGCCTTAAAAAAAAAGACAAATCAAAAGAAAATAAGGTCTAAAATGAAACAAAACATTTATTTAGGAATGACAAGACAAAAAGAAATTAGGTGTTTACACACTGTTTAATTCATAGGATACATAGTATAATGAGTTTGCATAATAGTTAAGCAAAGTAGCGCAGCAGCTACAAGTAACGCGATAATTGACCATGGAGTGCTAAAATAAGTCCAGTAGCATTCTGCCATTGATGTTTTAGCTTTGCAGCTAACGTGGCTCTGAATATCTTTTATAACATCAACAAGAATACCGCCATGAGAGACCACATCATAAGTAGTAATATCTTGGAACAGTTTGGCTGCTTCTTCATCTGTTCCCAAGTGGTTACAGATTACTCCTTTTTCTCGTAGTTCTTTCACATCCTCTGGACATACTATAAGTGATTTCATAAAATTCACATAAGATGACACCTCATATCGAGTATTCGTGTTTGGACTCATCTCATAAGCTATCATGTTTGAATAGATTACCTTGCTATAGATGTTCATGTGTTCCTTTGGAAGATCGAGTTTCCCAAACAACTTGTAGGATTTGAATTTTATTCCATGGATAGAATTTATGCTACTCGACCGAAAGAAAATGCCCTTCTGTTTGAGGTCTCTAACTGATCGAAAGGGATAGATATGACTCTTCGATTCCGTTCTGAAAAAATTATAAAGTAGAGAAATGGATATAACTCATGCTCAAGCTTTATTAGCTATAGGAATGATAAGAATTATGCAAATTCAACAAGTTCAAGCAAATTATATCTAACGTATACTCCAAAAAGGGTATACTCCAAAAAGGGTAGCTCGGTGCACTAAGCTTCCGCTATGCGCGGGGTCCGGGGAAAGGTCGATCAGATCACATGGGTCTATTATACGCAGTCTTATCTTGTATTTCTGCAAGAGGCTGTTTTCGCGGCTTGAACCAGTAACCTCCTGGTCACATGACAGCAACTTTACCAGTTATGCCAAGGCCCCCCAATTGAAATCTAACAAGTTCAACTTTTCAAGCTTTAGTTATATTTGTATTATGCAGAATAGCCTGGTAGATACTTATACTTGTTCGCGTTTGTCATCCCGGTCCCCTTATACAAAGTTTCATCAAGACACTTATAAGTGTTCAAAGTCATTATTTTAAACCCCTCTAATTGTTGACCAAGTCTATGTGGCAACTTAACGACTGAATTTGACAAAATACGCGTATTGCACGCGTATAAGGAGCGTGAATGTTAATATTTAAACCGAAAATAATTAAAATAAAGAAAAAAAGAATAAGAAAATACAAACATTAGATTAAAAAGTGAAAGAAGAGTGCTTCTTTTCTTTCACGTTCTGTCGCCCCCCCACCCCCTTCACGTTATCCCTCCTTCATTTGAACCCAAAGCCCATTGCAACACAATCCTCCTCCACCACCTCTTCGTCAACCAATAATATCCCTAGACATCCGAAATCACCGTCAGATTGGCAGCATTTTCTGGAAAAATTTCTTTCCCACATCCCCATTCCCAAAATTTTTAACACGTGCTTTTGCAAAGAAAATAAATAAAAATAGTGGAAGAAGACAAGTGTGTGTAGAGAAATTTCAAAAGTTTTGGATGAAGTTTTTGGTGATGATAGTCTTTTGGGTGGTTATTTTCTAATAGCATGTTCTTTTGGTGGTTAGGCAATTTTTATGATTTGGGGCTAAATACAGAAAACTTTATTGTTTATTCTCTTGATTATTTTTAACATAACATTATTACTTAGTGGGCAAGGAGTTGGTAAAGATAAAGGGAATGATGGGGAATAAAGATGGTGAGGAGGAGGAAGGTGGTAGAGGAGATGGTGAAATGAATTTTTTTTTTTAAATATGAAAAATAAATTCATGATGATGTGTCAAAAAAATGTGACGGGGACACTGATGTGTTATTCATGACATGGATTTGAAGAACACGCGAGATAAGAGTGGTTTAAAACACATTTTGAACAACTATAAGTGTTTAGATAAAACTTCGTTGAGTACAGAGACCGGGATGACAAACGCGAATAAGTACATGTGTCTATCAGGTTATTCTGCCTTTGTATTATAAGAAATTCTTAAAATGCATGGTAAGCATAGTTGAAAGTTTTAACAACAATAATAACAACAACAACAACAAGTTCAGTAAAATCTCACAAGTAGGATCTGGGGTGACCTTACCCCAACCTAATGAAGGAAGAAGGCTGTTTTCGAAAGAGTCTCGGTTCAAAAGAAGTGAAAATGAAGTTATAAACAGACAATAGCAATAATAAGGTAATTAGACAGTTGAAAGTTTTATCACTACACCTTGAATTGATGGACTCGACTGTAAAAACTTAAATCGTTGTAAAAGAGAACAAGAACTGCACTTAATTTACCAAAATAAATTCTTACTTGAAATCCTTTTGCTGAAGTGTTTTTGGTTGAATTGGTTCGGAGATGAAGACATCCCGAAGAGTTTCAAGAAGATGCATAGGCTGCTCATCCTCACTATTTTTACCATCACATGAGCCCCTTACTTTTGTTGGCTGATAATCACAAAAAACTGCTGAACCACAAAACTTACCAAACAATTCTTTTTGCAAGTTTCCATCTTGATCATAATCACCATACTTTAAGGTAGCCAACATCTTGAGAACCCAAAGTGGAATTTGATTTTCAAGCAAAAATATGTCACGTTGTGCAGTAAAATATGTTACAAAGCCAAAATTTCTTACAAAGAAATCCTTAACTTGTGGATATAGTGTGAGGGATTCCATATAGCTCAAAAGAAAATTTGTATCGAGGAGCATAATACGGGCAAAATCAGGATCACTATAACAATCCGTAGAACCTTCAACATAACAATGCCTGATATCATTGATCACAGCACAAAAGATGTTATCATAATAAGTTATGTCAACACCAGAATATGAGAGCAACTGAGATTCCAAAACCTTATATTTGAACCCCTCCACGAACTGACACTCTAATTTATCATGGTGGTAAGGCCCGATCGAAACAACTTTGGGGTCATAGTCATGGCCCTTGTTATCTTCTCTCTTACAAATGCTGCAACTTTCTCAATCTTCACATTACTCGGAACATGAGAAAATTTCAACCTACACAAATCTTGAAAACTCCCTATGTTTTCCATGTTTGGTCTTTACTGCTCATTTACGTTTAAGTCATCCCTTGTTTATATATAGGCAAAAAGAAGTTGGCTTGATCATTTTCCAAGTCAACTCATCAAAACATTTACAAAGCCAAGTCTTTTTTAATACTTTATTAAGGACATAAAAGCATATGCGTGTTACCTTGGACAAAATGAAGTAAACGCTTTTATTCTATACTGGGCTGGAATATGTCACGCATATATTTTTTTAAAGCTCGGGGAAAGGGGTATGTGAATAATTCCTGATCCACGATCCGAGAAAACCGGGGCATCACATGAGATAAAATTTTAATAAGGAAAAAAAAAAGATCAAACTTATAATGTAGTGATATTGCCATGAGTTTCACACACAATATATGAGTGTGAACTCAATTTTCGCTACTAACCAAACGTTAACGGATACAAAGTCAAGTCTTCTTATATGAAGTACTTTATTGAGAGGGTCTAATGCGTATGCAAGATTAGTTGGACAGAAATATGAAGTGAACGCTTTTATTCTCTAATAATTAAGTGGTACTATTACTTTATTTTGGTTTTTGGTATCAAACTCCACATAACTTAGGCATAGTTTAATATCAGAAACCAGATGTCTTATTCGTAATACCGGTGAAACTTAAATGAGAATCTATGTATTATTCTACGAAATAGAATGTGAAATCAGAATAAGAACATTTAGCGGTGTTCACGGTTAAGGTTTGTTTACCCACAAAATTGGATAACAATTGAATTTGTAAGTGATTTTAAGGATGTATGGATTAACTTGACACAAAATGATAAATTAGATTGCAATTGAAATAAATGACGATAAAGTAAATGCAAACCACACGAATTGGATAATTTCAGCCTTGGAAGATTAGCTACCCTCGAGCCGAATGCACTCCGATCGGTATCAAGACACAGAAGAATAAGAGCTTCAAGAAAATAATAATAATGTATTGCTTTGGAATGCGTGTTACAATGTACTAAATGAATTATCATACTACCTTTATATAGTAGGGGAGTCCTACTTTAGGTACAATTCTATGAAAGATAAAAAATCTCTTGATTTGCTGATTGCCGGTTCCTTATTGATACGTGCCGAGATTTTTGCCGTAATATCCGACCGGTCACGGATAATTTGATCTTCTGTTGGTCATGCTAACAATGTTTCTTCGAGCTCGTTCGGGATTATGGTCGACTCCGGGATCACAGACTCAATGTTCTCGAAGGCAGGCGTTCTGACCCCGAGTTCTAGCCCGGTGGGACTTGGAGTTAAGGCTGGCAAGTGGGCCGGTCCAGGCCCGGGACCGCGGGCCAAACGGGCTAAACGGGCCAG